TTATTTGCGCGTTTTTTGAAAACCTTTGTGCAAACAATCTTTGTGGAAGATCCTTCAAGAGAGAGAATCAGAAGGCTACTGATTTTTTGAAAACCTTTGTGTAAACAATCTTTGTGGAAGATCCTTCAAGAGAGAGAATCAGAAGGCTACTGGCAGTGCTATATAATAAATAAATGTGATCTAAGTAAAAGTAGAGAATTTGTATACCTTCTATCTGTTACAATGTTATCAATGCAATTTTAATTTGCGCACAAATATACACCTGCTTGTAAATTGGAATTTGTTGTTTTCAAATTTGATATTTTGAATGAAACGAAAACATTTGTACACACACGAAAAGATTGACATCCCATGCAAAAGTAGCGAAGTAACTTATTACACCAGTTTACAAAAAAAAATCGATGAAATATACCATGAAGGAAACCTTTGTTTTCCGGTAAGGTACGTCATCCTGATTAAGAAAATATGCACTTCCCAAGGGTCCATTTCTTTAGTTAAATCAAAAATTAATTTATATTTCAAGATCCTTTGAGTTTTTAATTCATTTATCCTTTAGAATGTGAAGATGAACTCAAATCTTGATCGCGGAGTAAAAAAAAAGAAATTATGGAAGGACCTGTTTCATACTTATAGGCCCAAAACAATTAGCGTTCGCAGTTAGACTTTAAAATAGCCATTTGACTCTCCAATTTAGGCTCGTCATTGGTATGTATTTCTTTCAAATACATTTTTTCAAACATACTAAGGACACTAATAAGTAATTAATAATAATTAATTGTAATTAATTCATAAAAAATATTTGTAAAATATTTAAAAAATCATAACATTGTTATACACTAATGTGTATCATCATATGCATTCTGCGTCTAAATTATTTTGATTACATGTTTTATTTAGTTTTTATAGGCTGTTAAAGTCTTTGGTGTAGACTGGTTGAAATAGGCTGTGAAAAAGCTGTATGTAAATGAGCGAAAAAAATAATATCTAAAATTGTCTACAAACACAATGGACGAACACAAAAGAAACATCACAAAAGCAAAGGAAGAGCAGCAGACTGCATCGCAAATTTGACCCTAAAAACAGCTACACTTATCGTTTTTATTACCTTCAAACATTGACAAATACACTGATAACACTCCTAAAGGAAGGATCGGGGGGTAACATATCTAAAAGTCTATTTAAACATGAAAATGACGTTCAAATAATACATAAACAAAGGATTAATAATCAAACATACACAACAAATAACCAATCAAGCAGATTAATTTCACAAAAAGAACTTATTAAATTAAATAAATAAACTATTTCGGACCTCTCTTGCGAACGTTTGACCATTTTATAGCAGGCTACATTAGATTTACGCATGAAGAATACACAAAGTACACATGTTTGTGATTTTGGTTACAATTATAACGGGCGTTATTGAAATTGCGCATTAGGAGTACACATTTACATATGTGATTTTGTTGTTGCTATCCGATCCGTTAGAATATATGTATCTATCTTACTCTCTGGAAAAGGAGATGAGAAATGCAACTTTGTTTTGACGAAGTGCTAACGTAACGCCGCTGCGCTGCAAAATTGAACAGGTTTTTAGAAAGTCGCATTAGATTTCCAGATTTCCGGTTTGCCATTAAGAAGCTTGGTCATTTTTGAAACAATTTGTTTACTTATCAATAATTTTTGGTACTGGCGATTTTTTTAATTTTGGCCTATAGGCGCAACCACTGTGCACTGTATCATATGTATATGTAGCTGCCATAGGAATGGTCAAAAAATGTATGGCATTAACAGGAAAAAAATTATATAATTTTTGTTTTTATTACATTCGCTTCTTCTCTGGGATATATAGGGGAGAGTTCTGTAGGTTGGTACGGTGTGTAATTTGGAACACCCGACTTTCTCAGAACTTTTCCAATAAACAAATTTGTATACCCGTTACTCGTAGAGTAAGAGGGTATATTGTATTTGTGCAAAAGTATGTAACAAGGAGAAGGAAGCGTTTCCGACCCTATAAAGTATATACAGAGTGCGCCATCCAGACAGGACCTAATGAAATGTTAAATAACTCCTCCATTTTTTATCCCATTTTGGAAAATAAACAAGATTCATTTAGGGCAGGGGTGCTCAAAATTGCCTTATGGTAGTGCAGTTACAAAACACCATTAAAGGAAAAACACACGCACGCGAGTAACAAGTCGCACACAGTCATGAAAAAGACAACAACACTTTGCATTGTGAGTTGAGGAGAAAAAAAAACTTCAATGGAATTTGTTTTTGGCCTGGCTCGCTCTTATCTATTAAGGACAGCGACACAAAGAGGAATCGGGGTGTACATAGGCAAGCATTGCGAGTGCACTGCCGTATGCTTAGTGCTATTACAAAAACAATTGTGCTTGTGTGCCATAGGAATGAGCACCCCTGATTTAGGGTATAGAATGCCATTTATTGACAATTCACTCAGAATACAATATCAATCAAATGACCGCCTTCATTAGAAACACAAAAAGCGGCCCTTTTTTGGGCATTTTGCATTGTATTTAACAACATTTCGGGCGTAATAGCAGCAATTTCCGCTTTGATATTAGCTTTTAGTTGTTCAATAGTCTTTGGTTTGCTGACATACACCTTACTCTTCAAGTAGCCGCAGAGAAAAAAGTCCGGTGCGGAGGGTGCCGAATGTCTCCCATATTTCTTACGATAGGCACGCACAGTTTTTACAATTGAACGATTGCTTTCGATGTACAGCGCTACAATTTCAGCCCGATTTTTTGCTGTGAGTCGATCCATGTCTAAAATGGTATAGGCTGACGTTTCAGAATCTGGCTGGCTTGTCAAAATAGGCTGAAAAATGGCGGAGTTATTAAACATTTCAATAGGCCCTGTCTAGATGGCGCACCCTGTATATTCTTGATCAGAGTCACTAGCCGAGTCGATATGGCCATGTCTGTCTGTCCGTCTGTCTGTCTGTCTGTCTGTCTGTCTGTCTGTCTGTCTGTCTGTCTGTCTGTCCGTCCGTCCGGATGAACGCTGAGATCTCGGAAACTACAAAAGCTAGAAAGTGAGATTTCCCATACATATTCTTGGACTTCTTGTTTTACACTAGTCGGCATAATTATTTTGACAGATTTGAATGTTAACTGTAGTCACATTTTGAACTTTTAATATAAACTTTTAACACCTTTAGAAAAAGCGCTTCAATTCCGTTTAAATGACACAAAAATGTTCTTAACCCATTAAGACCCCATTGAAAAGCGAGCAAATTTTGTGAAAGTCAAATTTTTAACTTCTTAAAACAAAAATGTTTTGATGCAAAGTTTTTCCCCAATCAAAATTAATAAAACCTGCAAAAAAAAAATTTCAAAATATTTATCCTTGTATTTTTTATTATTTTTTGAATGGAACGATCTCAGTAAAATGTTGTACGAAAAGGTGGAAAAGGGGCTAAAATTGTCATTATACCCGTTACTCGTAGAGTAAAAGGGTATATTGTATTCGTGCAAAAGTATGTAACAGCTAGAAGAAAGCGTTTCCGACCCCATAAAGTATATATATTCTTGATCAGGATTACTAGCCGAGTCGATCTAGCCATGTCCGTCCGTCCGTCCGTCTGTCTGTCCGTCTGTCTGTCTGTCTGTCTGTCTGTCTGTCTGTCTGTCTGTCTGTCTGTCTGTCTGTCTGTCTGTCTGTCCGTATGAACGCTGAGATCTCGGAAACTATAAAAGCTAGAAGATTGGCATTTTGCATGAATATTCTATGAGCTCCTACGCAGCGCAAGTTTGTTTCAAAAAGGTGCCACGCCCCCTCTAACTCCCACAAGCCCCCTCTGACGCCCACAGTTTTGAAGCTATTATGAAAATAGTAATTGATTTGTATTCGCTTCGTCAATACCTATCGATTGGCCAAGTAAAAAATTGCCACGCCCACTCTAACGCCCACAAACCCAATAAACCTGGCCACCGCCTACATTTCCGCCTTTCATGACCAGTAGTACCAATATCTGGCGGTAGATGGCGCAATACAATATACACTAGCGCCATCTAGGAAATGGCATTGGAAAAAATCTGCCTTTTTTTCTGTGGTCACTCTAATTCACATTATGTTAATGCAAATTTTAAATTATTTGAAATGGGGCGTGCATTTTGTCTCTTTTTGCTCGTATACGTTTCTCACAAGTGCATTTACCTGCGCTAGAGAGAGACGGAAGTTGTGCTAGGCAGAATTGAAAGTTCTAGAAAGCCTCTTCTAGAAAGAGATTCCTGGGTAAAAATCGAGCGGCGAAAAACATATAAGAAGGCATATTTCTATTAAGTTGTTTAGCTGAGTAACGGGTATCTAATAGTCGAGGCACTCGACTATAGCGTTCTCTCTTGTTTTTAACTATTTTCAAAAAATTATAAAAAATACAAGGAAAAATATTTTGAAATTTTTTTTTTGCAGTTATTATTTATTATGTTTGGGGAAAAACTTTGCATCAAAACATTTTTGTTTTAAGCCCCAGGGAAAAAGTTGAAAATTTGACCTTCACAATAAATTTTCTAACTTTTCAAAGGGTGCTTAATGGGTTGAGAACATTGTTGTGTCATTTAAACGGAATTAAAGTGCTCTTTCTATAGGTGCCAAAATGTTTCTATTATGAGTTCAAAATATGAGAAGATTTAACTTTAAAATTTGTCAAAATAATTATGCCGACTAGTGTAATGGAACATTCCAGTAATCGCTTTATTAGCTTTATTAGCCGATAGTATCTGCTATAAAAATTCGTCGATGTTATTTAAATGATGCTTAATAATACATTTAACCAGTTTTGATATAAAAACCCGCAAAGTTAGTTGCTGTTAAGCTCTGCCACAGTTGCCGCCCAAACCTTGTTGGTACTCATACACGAAGTGACTAATAATTTATGACGAAAGTTCTTCGTGGCACCAGCCCTCTGCCCTTGTTGAAGCTTCTCTTCCAGTGTGGGGATTCGCGCCCTCAAAATTAATAATTAAACTTACCCTCAGAGTTGACTTGCGTGACGCCCTGAGCTTGGAAGCAAGACATGTATACTGCAACAAATATAGAAAGAAAAAAGTAAGAATATAAATACGGTATATGACCCTAGAGTGCATGCATGAAAAGTGCAATTAATCAAAATATGGTAGCTGAATTCTGGTAGTTGACTTGGGAAAAGCATACGCATACAGAGAAAACAAAATTAAACAGAGTACAACAAGGGAGCAACCACAAAATTACATTTTTTGCTTTTACGGCTAGTAGATGTTGTAAACAGTTTTTGAAGCGATAAAGCTATTCCTTTTCAAAACATTGAGGCAAGGCAATCTAACAAGCTAGAAGTACATTAAAAAAGTACAGTACATTTTAAATACCATTTTAGTTAGAATAAAAAGTTTAATGCTCTGTCCAACTACACCTCTCTATACACAAAAAAAAAAACTTGGTAAAATCAACTGTAATAATTGTCAAACAGGCCCCAACCAGCAAAATTGTCAATTCTACTAAGTAAATAGTCATTTCACAACAACAAAATATACACAATTAGCAAAGACAAAAACCCAAAGTAAAAACAAAATACACGTAACTATTTTAATAGTTACGTAACTATCTTTGTTGGTCAATTTTACCAAGCAAATTTTTTTGTGTGTAGGGACCGAGATTTTAGGAATTGACGATTTATTGCCTAACAAATTTATTTAATGCAATATTGGCCTAAAAATGGGTTTTATGGCTTTAAAAACCATATTCTTAGATCAAATATTTTTAGGAATCGTAAGCCTTAAATTTAGATAATATTCCTAAAATTATAATCAATGCTTTTATTGTTCTGTGCTATCGATGTAAATAAAAATGCTAATGATCCATTTTTGCATTTTTCTCACTTTTTCAACTTTGACGAAGTGTAGCCTTCTAAACAAATGAGTGGATATCAATGCTGTGTATCAGGTGTGTCCCTGAAAACTCTAAAAATCAAAAAGCAACACAAAAGCAATTGTTGGGTTTCTTCAATAATGTTCCCACATTTCCATAGCTACAGGCGTTTTAAAAAACATTTGAGTAGGATTTGTAAAATTTTTTGCTTTGTAGCAGAGCTTACAAATAACTGTCAACCGATTTTCCTGAAGCAGTTTAATCTCGACAAAACCGAAAAAAATTTTGCTCACAAACTCTCTCTCTGAGCGGAACCCTTTTTTAGTTTTGCTTGTCGGTTTCGGCCCGACCGTTCGGCTTAACCGAACAAAGCAATCGGTCTTTCAATAACCATTCGGTGAGACCCTTTTAAGTTAACAGTCACATAAAAGGGTTTCTATAAGACTACTGTTAAATAAAAGTCAGAAAAATGGGTTTTCTCTAGAAAGGGAAAAGTATAGGCCTGCTGTGATATGTGCATAAATTTTACATAGGAAATCAAGATAATTATAAAATTGCATTGTACAATGTACATATAAATTGTATTCTGAATTTAGGTTAGCTGCTATTTTTGTTTGCTTCAATATATTTATTTACTATATAAGGAACTATCTTTAATAAGAAATGCCATAAAGAAACGAATTACCTTTCAAATGAGCTAAAAAAAGGCAGATCGGTTCAAATAAACTACCATAAGTCTTAAGATAAAAATTGGCTTAAAGTATTCCAACCAAGCCTATTGCTACAAAATGGATCGCGCGTTCTTTCAAATCTTTCAAAATATTTTGAATTAAACCAAATAATGTTGTGAAGATATTCTTAAATAGTTAGGAATTGATTTAAAGCTACATAAACAAAATTTGAAACTGCTAAAGGAGGTTTAACCTGTGAAAAAGCTCTAATTTTACCTGCAGCTAAAAAGATTCGCTTCTTATTACGTGGATTTGGTTATTAATTACTACATAAGAAAGATATGCCAAAAGTGGAGTTTTGGAATCGTAAATTATTTAAAATATGTAGAATATTGGAATTTAATGGTAAATGGGCTAATCTCACAGATTCAGCTTTAGGCTTAGTACTCAACCCAACAAAAAGTCGTCCAAAACAAAAACTTCTTATGAAAAACAACGTCAAAAAATTTTGTTTCATATGAAGATTTTGTTTTGGACGACTTTTTGTTGGGTTGAGTACTAGCCCTTAGAGAATACACATTACGTATTTTCCCTTACCCTTTTGAATTTTAATAATCAAAAAGCAATGTTACGACTGAAGCATTACTGAACAGGTCACACATACACACTCATTTAAAGCAGGCCATCCACAGTCGAATTTGTAAGGCGAACATGTTCGTGTGTTCATAGTTGGTGGTAGTGTTTGCGTATAGATTTCATATAAATTTGTTCGACGTTTTGTTTGACAAAGATAGAAACGATTCTATCTTGCCTGTGCTCGCGAAAATATTCGTCGAGCAAATTCGACTGTGGATGGCCTGCTTAAGGGGGGAGATACATATAGAACTGCAAACTTTTCAAGTTGTTCGTGATTTGTTTTAACCAATAAGGGTTAGTGCTGGAACTTCGCAACTTGGCATGTTGATTACATAGTTCTTATATAATTTAAAACAACTTTAAAATTTTTTGTATCTTTTAAAATGGCGCCCGTAAGAATTTTTTTGTCAGGCCTTTTTAAAAAAAGTAGGCCAGCTGCGGATCGTCCACAGGTCGCTGTGTAGATCCGAATTTTTAGAAACCAACTTCATTTTGTTAGGAAATAATGTAGAAACTGTCTGAACCCAACTTACATAGAATATCACAAAAACTCTGGTTGTGGCACTCTTTCAAAGACAAAGCTAAATTTTTTTCATATTTTTCTTGTTGTTTTTGCTTTACAAAAAATACTTTAACGTACAAATTTCTACATAAAGTAAGTTCAGACAGTGTGCAACTTCATTACAAACATTTCTGTAAAAGCAGCATGATTATCGAAGCATTACTTTTTGAGATACACGATCCGCAGCTGAGGAGTAATGAAATATATCTACTGCACAAGGAAGATGGGTGCCGTCATCCTGGTATAAGTTCCAAAATATTTCAAATTTCTTCGTGAAACTTTCATGACACATTTTTAAAGAGTTATTCTACCAATTTAAGTAATACAAAAAAATTTTGATTTTTTTTTTCTATATTTATTTTTTTTTAATACATTTGAATTTCTTTTGATCAGCATTTTAAAAAAGCCGCTGAACACATAATCCATAATTCGAAAACATGGTAACGAAGCCTAGGGCATTTATGTAAATGATAAAAAATTTACATTTCAAAGCATCAAATTCAGGTTTCAGGGAACTCGACAATTGTTTTTGTGTTGCTTTTGATTGAGTAAACAAGGAAAACAAGGGAGTTTTTAGTTGCTTGTTGCTTTTGAAAGCAACTCTCCGAAAAACTCTAGTGTTTTCTGGGACACACCTGTATAAGAAAGTTAGAGGACATTCTATTACCTTTAAAATAAGACTTTAATGTCGGTCATTAATCGGTTTAACTTCTTTACGTTTTAAAAAAATTGGTTTCATAAAAAAAATTGTAAGTTCTTTTTTCTTAATCCTTACCGGAAAACAAAAGTTATTACATTTTTTTTATTTTTTTATTTTATTAAAATGTTATAGGCTGTACAAAATACATATTGTTCTTAATTTTATCCTTCTAGAAAGGCCATTTAATATAAATTTATAGATGCATTAATGACTTATTTTGAAGTTTGAAAGTTATTGTTAGTTCGCAACGGAGTAATTAGGCTGCTGAAATAATAATTGTATTGTTGTTATTTGTTGATAGTCCCTAATTAGTCGCAAAAGGTTACCAAATTTAACCAAAAAGCATCAAATTAATTTGTATTATTGATTGACAGCTATATGACATAGAAGTTCGATCTTTTTAAACTTAAAATCGAAATTCGGAAATATTTAAAAATAGTCATATCCCAGAGTAGAAAAAATGTAATGAAAATTAACAAAGATATAATTTTTTTCCTATTAATTTCCATCTAATTTTTCGACCGTTCCTATGGCAGCTATATTAAACTGAGAGACTAGTTTGCGTAGAAACAGACGGACAGACGGACATGGCTAGATCGACTCGTCTAGTGATGCTGATCAAGAATATATGTATATACTTTATGGCGAAAGATGCACGTAGAAAACAACAGCGAATCTCAAGGCAAAGGAATGTGCAATTTGACGATATTTTCGGTCAGAACAACGACCGCGATCGACCTACTGGTAACCCTACACCAGCAGCTACAGGTAGGGAAAATCTTAGGTGGGAACACCTAAATAACCCAAATATCACGGGAGGCGAGAAAAAACTCTGCACTGGTATAAAAGACCGTAGCCAGATAGAGAAGACAGACAGAATTTATTCTGATCTCAGGGCACTTTAGTGTAAGCACTATACACCAAACCATCGAAGACTGAAGCCAAGACCGAAGCAATAGAAGGAAGTCCCTGAGCATTCCATAAGACTGCGATTATCCAGAAGGAAGTGCTTCCACGAAGTTGGCAACGATTTCCACTGAGGGAGATCCTATTATATCCCAGCTCTGAGAAAGACGAGCGTCCATTTGTGAACATATAAACAGCAAGGACTTCACCATGGGTGGAACTGATTCCAAAGCGGCCCATAGTACCGCCAACGTTATTAATACTGTTGAAATAATTGATCACAAGGACGACATCCAGGACGTCAATCGCAACCTGAAAACCGGCATCTGCCGGTGCCCCGACTATCAGATACCCGTTACTCCGCTAAAGGGAGTGCGAAGGAGGTGGAGATAAAAACTTTTATCCGCCGTAACTTTTTAACGAATGGTCCGATTTAAACAATTTCTTCTACATTTTGATAGGTATTCATAAACACAATAAAACTGCATTTTTACTTTTCCGAAATATTGAAATTTTTAAAATCGTATATAAGCGATTGTGGGCGTTAGAGGGGGCGTGGCACCCTTTTGAAACAAACTTGCGCTGCGTAGGAACTCCTAGAATCTGCATGCAAAATGTCAATCTTCTAGCTTTTATAGTTTCCGAGATCTCAGCGTTCATACAGACAGACAGACGGACAGACAGACGGACAGACGGACAGACGGA